CCACGACGGAGAAATCTGTTCTGTAATTCTCACAACATTTTCCTAAAGGAGAAGTGCTGCAACTAAGCAGAAATTACCTTGACAATGTCCGAATGAAAGAATTTACTGGCAGTGATTATTCCCCCACGATTGATCGAAAGCACGCTCTTATTGAGGGAGCATTCTCTCGGTCCTTCAGGTGTTTCAACGCTAAATCGAATCCGCAACTGTATCTTAGGATTCGGACACCCTGGAATGAAATCAGACGAGAAATGCGACGCAAGATAGAGAACACCATATGCGGAGAGACTAGTATGGCCTTAGGAAGTCGAAAAATGCAAGGTCAAAGTGAATGATGACAGATTGCCCGGTCGCAATTCTAACAGCAAGTGTGCGTCGCACATCACCAACTCGCTTTCACCAATAAAGAATTCAGTATGTAGAAGCAATTCAATTCAACTCAACATAGACATATGCGATGCGTAAGAAGAGCACCATTTAGTATACCTATCTCGAGATTTTCCCAAAACAAAACACTTAACATACAAAACACAAGAAGAACTACACCTAAGTCACATTTAATCACAGTACTGCAACAAAGTTGCTCACGGTTGCACTTGTCAGTTTTGTGCAATAGAGTCAAATGGGTAGACAAAATTTGAGCTAGCCCATGTAGAAAGTCGTCAGAATTCCAACAACTTGCCAGAATATGAAAAATTAGATAGTTAACTAACGTATAATTTGCAGGTATAAAGAGATGTATCCTGTGCAATCCTCGTCCTTTCCAGCAGGAAACAGCTTCAGGACGAATTCATGATCATTGTCGCCAAAATTCCTGTTCAACATAGCAGTAAAGGAATCAATCTAGCAAAGGAAAGAATGAATCGATTCACTTGCTCGTCAGATGCTCTCCGATGGAGTGGAGGTCCATTTGAGCACTGAAGTCTTCGATAACCCAGGCATAATGAAGGTCCACCGTGTCAAATCGTGTCACACATCCAGAGGCAGCAATTTTAGAAGGAGGACCTCCAGAATGGCTTAAAATAAGATACATAACGACCACTCGAATCAAAGTGAGATAAAATAAATATCATCAGAAACGCTACTACAGATAGACACGTAATCGTACCACGCCTGGGCATGTTTAAGCTGTCTACTTGCATATTTGCGAATGACGGAGTTGCGTTGAGGGAGCGTTCATGGTTCGCGACCGCATATGCGATTAAGCATAGGCGAGTTTCAACAAGAAGTACAGTACAGTATGCATATCCATTAGGCGATTGGGCAAATAGGCGAGGGGAGAAGGATAGGTATCGCTGTGTTTGCTGGGTCCCGTTGAGCAATCGTCTACTCGTTAGATCGATACGTATCCTTTTCCTTATAGCCTCGTCTAATCGCCTTGCCATATACGATCACGAAGTATGAATGTCGCCTGATTGACGTGTGATGGGTTATAAGATCGTGGATAGTATATAAAATGCTATTCTTGAATGCCAATCAAATAAATTAATTTTCTGGCACCGCCTTTCTGCCAGGTAAGATCGTGCAATCGACCTTAGGTTGAAGGCTGCATTCCTCATCGCATTTCGCTCCATCCCTTCGAGAATGGATGTCATCGACACTATCCCTCCTAAACTTGTTCTTCATCCCTCCTTTAAGAACACTCAGGATAACGACACACCGGTCTCGATTCAGCTACTCTTTCCAATACTCTTCGAAGTCAGCTGCAATATTAGCCCGTGATCTTGAGAAGTGACAGAACAATCTCAATCCGCACTGTTTGAATTATTCACACCACGGGCAAGGTTCCTAAAAGTTCGGATGATAGTAGCAATAAAGCTTCGGCGCTGCTCCTTCCAAGAAGCCACATGTGCCAAGCAGTAGCCCTTCTCCAATCCAGCACACAGCTAGTTGAGTTTAATAGACTACCAAAACGGATCAAAAAGGTATGCATAATAAAGTTTACCCTCAGCTTCTGATGCATCGAAAGCTACTTCTCGAGTTTCACCAGGTGCTATCGCAAGGTGCGGGACATTACAGATCTACAGTCCTCTTCTACGCCATATATCCGAGTTTGTGTGATTTGTATGAGTCTTTGTGTTGGATTTGCAAGGAAGAATTTTGAGAAAGGAAAATGAGGAGGAGCAGAAAGAAGACCCACTGGTCAGTGTGTACCGATTTCCCATCCCCTACGACTGAGCCTGGGTGGGGGGGGGGGCAGGAATTATAAACCTAGAAAACAAGGGCAAATCGAAGAAGAAAGTGTGAAACTGAAGCCGCTGGGTATCACAAGAGAACTATCTGTAGTTCTTGACATGTCTTGTTACGTTGAATGCTGTTATGCTGAATAGTTCAGCTTACAGTTTTTGGCATGTTTGCTTTCTTTTTGCCTTGATACATTGACAGACTTCAGTGATTTTCTCTCATGAGAGCAACGAATGTCCCTACGAAGCTTCAATTCTCCGCACCCACCACCTTCAATACTGACTGATCGAAGTTTGAAAGATACCGAACTGATAATTCAGAAACAAGAGCCAAAAGTGTCCAAGACTTCATCCCACTGTGCCCAAATCCAAATTTATACCACTACATCCGCTCGCATGGGAATTCCATTAGCATTCGGCGGCAGTGATATTGGGAATTAATAGCTGCCCCTACAAAATAAGCAAAAAGTTGTTCAACTGTTAGTTCAATTCTGGAATTCCTTCAAATACTCAATTTTGCTTCTGCTAACCCACTGTAGTTTTTTCGACGACTCTGGTTTATTTAAACAAGAGTACAAGATCAGCGATCAACGCAATTCCCCAGCATAAAATCTGGAATTAGTGAAATCCATAATTTCTTACTGAGATCTTGAAAATGTAAACGCAACTGCAACCTTGGCCTGACGGTAGAACACACTACTGCAGCTCATTTTTGGTAAATGTACATTG